GTTCGCGTTAGAACAGGCTCGCGTATCGGAAAAAGAAAATCTACTCTTAACTACTTTTTTACGGTAAATAATAAGAAGGTTAATGTTTGTCGTACTTACTTCTTAAATACTCTTAATTTATCCCAAACATCTGTTAGATTTGCATTAAAAAAACGACAGTCAGGCGGACTCGTAACGGTCGACCAAAGAGGGAAGCACGAACCATCGAATAAAATTGGAGTCAACGAGAGAAATATGATAAAAGAACATATCAGCAAATTTCCTTGTATCGAATCGCATTACTCAAGGAACAAAACTCAAAAAAAGTACTTAGGAAGTCACCTTAATATTTTCAAAATGTACGAGCTGTTTTTTGAAGAATGTAGAAACCAAATTCCTCGGGAAGAAATACCTAAAAAATGGCTTTATGCTGACATTTTTAACACTGAATTTAATTATTTGTCTTTCAAGGAACCAAACAATGATACATGTGATGCCTGTGATGAATTTATTATAAAACTAAAAGAAAATTTGCCTAATGAAACGCGTATTGACACTCAGAATGAATATGATGCACACCTGTCAGATGCAGACAATCGATACCAACTGAAGAAGCAAGATAAGGAAGCATCAAAAAATGTAAGAAACTGCAACGTTCTAACTGTTGATTTACAAAAATGCCTACCTACGCCGCTTCTCAAAAATGCTCAAAGCTTTTACAGCTTAAAACTTTGGACCTTTAACTATACTGTGTACAACACGACAAAAAAAACCTCTTCATGTTTTGTTTGGGACGAGTCAATAGCTGCCGAGGTGGCAATGAAATGGCGTCTTGCCTTTTGAGATACATTCTTACTCTCGATGAGTCTGTCGAGAATATCATTATTTGGAGTGATAACTGCCCATCACAAAACAGAAATCTGCAAATGCTAATGAGTTATTTTTATGTAATGATGGTAAAGCCATCATTGAAGTCGGTAGAACACAAATATCTTTTAAGAGGCCATACCCACATGGAGGTGGACTCCGTACATGCCAGAATAGAAAGACAAATGAAAGCCTCCCCTGATTTTTCTATAATTACCCCATGGGACTGGCAACAGCTTATGCGACTGTGCAACTCAAACTTAATGGTGGAGGAAATGCAAACTGTGGATTTTAAAAATTTCAATTATTTATACGACAATATAAAATCTTCCTTTCAAAACAACAAAAAGACCACAACAGGTGAAAATTTCTTGATTTCAAAAGTAGTTCAAATGAAGTTTGTATCTGATAAACCTGGAGTGTTATATTTCAAATCAAGTTTTGTTGCAGAAAATTTTCAGGAGGTTGAATTTAATAAGACAGCAAAAACAAGAGTATCTCGTCGGGTTGAAGCCAGTACATCAAAAACTAATACAAAATTTGACCAGTTTCAACTTCCACCTATCAGAAATGAATTAAAGCCCATCTCTACCAAAAAGTGGAAGGACTTGCAAAAATTATTGAGATGGGTTCCTTCAAGATTTCACGATTTTTTTAAAAACATCCCTCATGAGAACATTAAAGATGAATAAAGGCTCTTATTTTTTGCTTATTCTTTTAATAAATAAAAGTATTATATCTATCGTTAACAATAACAAATGAACTGTATTCGATTTTTTTTTTTATTTTTATTTTTATTTATTTATTCCACTGCAAAATTAGTATACAATGTAAGATTAACATATATTCTGGACATACAAATGAACCCTAGAGTTTGTGTGTGTATGCCCAAGAAAACCTCTAAATTAAATTAACAGTAAACTTGGTTTTATAACCTATAGAATATAAAAAAAATAACAATTGAGAAAAAAAAAAAAAAATAACAATTAATTCCCAGGTGAAGAAAATCACAGAAATATTAAATTTAAGCAATTGCAATCACCATTATAATGGTACCAGAAATTCATTTTCAAAAATCCATGTGTTAACTCGTTTTTTAAGTTTATTATATTTTCCAATTTTGAAAGAATCTGGTAACATATTGAAGATTTTTGGACCTATGTACAGGATATGTTTTTGTGTTTTTGTGAAATTCATTTTAGGAATTATTAATTTATTTGCATTTCTTGTTGTTCGAACATTAAGCTTGTAGTTTTTGTAATTTACCGACTTAATCATAAACCTAACACATACTTTAGTTAATAGATGCTTCACGGACATCAGCCTGGCAATTTTGAAAAGCTCACTGGAGGGAAATGTTTTGTTTTTAAAGAGCATAATTTTAATTATAGTTTTTTGAATCACCTCCAGTGGTTTTAGCAGTGCTTTCGATGCCAATCCCCAAACTAATAGACCATATGTTAGAATGGACTCAACAAGAGCATAGTACACCGCCTTAATTGTGTTAATATTCAATATCTGTCTGAGTTGTAAAAACTTATAGATCAACTTTCTTAACTTATTTGTTACATAGTCTATGTGTTGTTTATATTGTAGTTGCTGGTCTATATAAACCCCGAGATATTTAACGCAATCTTTTTTCAAAATTTTTGTCGTACAATTACAATTTCTTGTTGAGTCGCATTCGGGGTCGTGGATTATTAACTCCTGTTGTTGGGGCTGCGTAGCAGCTGCCATTGTAAAAGTTAGAAAATTTGTTTTTTCGGCATTCAGTGTTAACAGGCTGCTGTCCAACCACTGCTTCACTCTTCCAATAACTCTCTCAGCTTTTTTATAGGTATCATTCCAGGAGTCAGAACTTATCAGCACAACTGTGTCATCAGCGAAACAGATGATTTTAGCTCCAGTAGCGAGCTTCAAGAGCTCGTTAATATATATTGTAAATAATACTGGTCCAAGGACCGTACCCTGCGGCACACCGAACTCCGTTGGAAGAGGATTACTTATTTCATTAGCTATCCTTACTTGTTGAGGTCTTTCACTAATAAATGAACTTAAAATCTGCAGAGGTTTTCCTCTTATTCCAATGTTATCCAATCTTTCCAACACAATTCGGTGTGACACAGTGTCAAAGGCCTTGGACAAGTCTAGAAAGATGCCTATTGTTTTTTTTCGTTTGTTAAGATCATTTACAATATATTCAGTTACTTGACACAGTGCATTTTCAGTTCCAACTCCCTCCTGAAACCCATATTGATCTGAAGAAATAATATTATGCTTTTGTAAAAAACTTGTCATTCTTATTTTAATGCATTTTTCAATTAATTTAGCAATCGTAAGGGCAATTGGCCTATAGTTAGTAGTCAAGTCTTTTTTCCCAGCTTTATAAATTGGAATGATGATAGTTTTTTTTAGTATGTTTGGGAAGATCCCTTGAGTGAAAACGAGATTGGTCAGGTGAAGCAGTGGTCTAAGCAGTAAGTGATGAAAGCCTTTAAGTATCTTGGGAGAAACCAAATCGGAACTTGCTGCATTAGACTTCAAAGAATTGATTTGCATGATTAATTCATTTTTAGTTATAGGTTCAAATTTGCACTCTTCATTGTTTCGCCAGACTCTACTCTGTGATGCCTGTCCTTTATCAATTTTTTGAGCAAGCTTCTTTCCTATTACATTAAAAAAACTCATTAAAAGTTTCAGCAATTTCATTTTGTCTTGTTATCAGCTGGCCTTCCTGCGTCCTAATAGATTTTATTTGATATACAGTGCTATTTTGATTTATAATATTTTTTATGGTTTTCCATGTTTTTTGTGAATCACCTTGACAAGTATCAATCAACCTTTTATAATAATTCTTTTTTGAGTTCTTTATTAATTTACTAAGTTTGCCTCGGTACATGACATAGCTATTTTTTAGAACAACATTGTCTGGGTCTTGTACAAGAGCTTTTTTCAATTTATCCCTTTTTCGGATTGACACAAGGAGGCCCGCTGTAATCCAAGGCTTCAGTCTGTATCTTTTATTTGCTATGAGTTTCCTTTCTGTAGAGTTTCTAACAAATTGCTCTATCACACACACAAAAGTCTCGGCACACTCATCAGTATCCGTTTTATTCAATACATCAGTCCAAGTTTCTTGTTCGAGTAGGTTTTCTAGCATTTTGATAGTTTAGTTTTTCTAACCATTTGTTTGTAGTGGCAGCTTCAGTATTTAAATTTAGTTTCTGCTTGATATTTACTAGAACCGGATAATGGTCATGTGTTTCCGATACTCTTGTAGTGACGATTGCAGTTCTTACTTCATCTATCCTATTGTTATGACACTTCACAAAGCAGTGGTCCGGACAACTTTTCTGAGTGCCCCTTTCCCTTGTGATCCCCCTCACCTTGCAAATAAATCCATTCATTGCCAAGCAATTCAAGTATCTATCCATAGTTCTATTTTGGTCCTGCAGCAAGTTAATATTCATGTCCCCCACAAAATACACAAGCTTCCACATTTTTTCCCTGTATGTCTTTTTAACAGTTCATCTACTGAATCTATGAACTCATCTTTATTTAATGATGGTGAACGATAAGTTCCAAGAACCTCCAACCTAAAATTATTTTTATTAGTGATTACTTTCAAAATCGGTACTCATTAATAATAATCACACTGCTATCTAAAAAAATATTTGATTTGACAAACATTGCAAAACCATCGCACCTATTCTTATAACCTTCATTTGTAACCAGTTCATACCCTGGTATTTGAAAGTCCGTAATGCAATAGATAGGATGTGTCTCAGACATTACTATAATGTCAAGGTTTTTATTATATGTTTCTAAGTAAACTATAAAATTATCCAAATTTTTTGTAAATACTAGTTATATTTATGTGTATTATGTTAATATCAGAGTCAACATTTCTAAAAAAGTTTGAATCATTCAAGGTTTCACATACAATAGTATCACATGTCTCGTAGTTATCAAGCAAGTCATTAGGCTCCATTGTTCTAATTAGATTTCACCCACTTACCAACCATTATATTACCATTAGTTTGCTGCTTGGAGCAGCTCTCCAAGGTGCTCCATGTTTTTAATTCTTAGTGCCCTGGACTCATTTTGTTTCACATACATAGACATTTCCATTTTTTATCCATACATGGCTATAGTTATGGTCCTTTTTCAGTTTCTTGTGCCTCCATTAGTAGATTTCTTGTGTTTTTATCAAGGTCCTCTGAGATAAAAATTTTTCTTTTTCGTTGTCCACGGCTTGAAGTAGTACTACACAATTCGGTATCAAGGTTTTCTATTTCTTTTTTTGCCTCTAAAATTCTATTTCGGGTATCCTCATCTGGGAGTTCTACCAAAATTATTGGTCTATCTTCTGATTTACTAGGAAACAAGTTAACCTTGACATCACTTGCCTGTAATGGCGAGTTGATTTTAGTGAATATCTCTAAGACACTTTCCTTAGCTGTGTCCTTTGTTACGTAAGGTCCTGTTATGACCAAGTTTTTTTTCTTTGCTTGGATTTGCTCTTTATCCTGTTTGTAATTCAGAAGCTCAACTTTTTTCTCTAAGTCTCCAATTTTTCTCTTCATGACCTCATTTTCTCTTTTAAGCTGTTTATATTCATTCTGCATTTCCTTTATGGACTTATTAATGTCCTCTACTAGATCCCACTTAAAATTTAATGAGGTCTCAAATTGCTCAAATCTATCATTAAAGATTTTCAATATTTCATCAATAGAAGGACCTGAGTTGGTGGGTCCCTGACTATTATTGATCTTTTTTGGGACACTGACTTGACTTGGTCTCCTTATTGTAATATTGTTTTGCTTACCAAGACCTGAAGTTGCATCATTTTTAGAGAAAAGTTGGCTTAAACGCTTGTTGACAACATGGGTAATTTTTTCAGCTTCGGAATCTGTGCTCTGCTCTGTCTCAGATTGATAATTGTTCTCAACACACTGCATACATATCCATGGACTATCCGTTTCATTTTTTTCGTAGGCTGCAAACTCTATAGCAGTCAGTTTAGAACAGCTTTTGTGGTAGTATTCTTGGCATTGTCCACATATAATGCTGTATTGCGCCTTTGATATATTATGCTCACATTTAGGACAGATGTATGCCTTTTTGGCCGGGTTTTTTTTGTTTGGGGCTTCGCTTTTCTCGCCCTTTTTCGCACCTGACCCAGTTGCAGCCGGTTTTCCCCATTTTTTCCGCTTTTTTTGGAAGGCCGTGGGTGTGTATTTTGAGGTTAGAATTCCAGTTTGTTGTTTTTCCGGAATTTCCCGGGAAGTCGGTATAATCTGTCTATAATGCACTGGTAGCTGACTTTGTTTATCACTTTTAGTAATTTTTTGTATTGTACTTTACGAAAAAACTAATATTATTTGTTGTGTTTATAAAACCAATGTTTACTTATACATAACCTTACTCATAACATTTGCTGTGTTGACGTTATTTTTGTAAAACCAGTTCCTAATAAAAGAAGAAGAGAAAGTAAAAAAAAACTCTTTGATTTTCCTAAAAATTAAAATTCACAATTCATCTGTCTAGGACCAAACAGAATTAAGTCACAAAATATGGTATTAAGTCGTAATATATTAAGTCCATTTCGAGGGCCAATCAATATTAAGTCCAAATAAAGAAAAAAAAGACAATTTATTTATATTTCCACAAAATAAACTTATTCCATTTTCAAATTTACATTATATATCATTAGAAAGCAAATATAAAACAATCTAACCAATTTACTATAGTTAAATGAGTAATTAGCGCACGTACTTCCAACTTTAAAATTGCTCTCCTGTAAAATTTTGAAAACGTGATATGGTTACTAATAGTTCAGTAGGATATAAGACAATTCATTTCCTATAATTAGTAGCTATATTCTATAATTTCCTGCAGGTGAATTTTCAACTTAAAACATGGTACAGTAGCAATAAGCCAACACCACTTATAAATGCAGAAGGTTCAGGATGGAATTTATCTGACGAGGTTTCAACTCCAATATTTTCCAATGACAAGTCAATTCCTGATTTTGTTCGACAATCATTATACAGGGCTCTAGGGCTCTCATTTCAAAACTTGCCACCCACGTTATTTGTGTAAAGAGGCATATTCGTGAAAATCGCCAAAACACCTCAACAAATTGATTGGGGGAGGGGGGGGGGGGGCTGCAATAAAAATGTAGGTAAAGCAGGTGTGTTTAAAAATAAATAGGCATTTTTGAACAACACTGAGGTCAAATTCAAAAAATGAAACGGCAAATGCTACAGATTAAACATCCCTTCAAAATGATCTATCACTCGACCCCCTGTCTCATTTAAAAATTTTGGGATGGTGTGGTAGCGTAGCCCTGGAGGTTAGGGGGTTGAAGGAAGGGATTCCAGTTTCACGTGAAAAACCTTTCCCTCCCCCAATAAATTTGTTGACGTGTTTCGGCGTTTTTCGACGAATAAGACTCTTTACGCAGATAACGTGGGTGGCAAGTTTTGAAATGAAAGCCCTGTATATTTATTCTTCAGATAAACATGGTGAAAATCGCAAATATGCTTGCCTGCAAGAAGGTCTAAAATGTTGTAACGAGTGTTGTTCTTGTAATAACACTATTAAAGATTTTGAAGAAGAGGAAAATGATGAACAGGAATGTTTTTAATGTCGAAAGTAAGGGCCACATTATAATAATAGGTATTATATCCATATTTCCGCTTATATTTAATTCAATTAAAAATATATAATAACCTACCAAGTGGTCATAAGGTCTTATGAGTATTGTACTCTCCTATCTCTGAGTAAATGCGGTATAATACTGTCTCGCGATGGCTTTCGCTCGCGTTAGATTATTTTAGCGCACAAATAAAAAATCGCTGTGGCCAAACGATATATATTGGGTAAAAACTAATAATTTCAAAAACTTTTGTCATGTTTTGGCATCATTTGCTTCGCTGTATGTACAGGGTGTCCCAAAAAGATACCGACAAACTTTGAGGGGTAGTAGGGGACATCAAAACAAACATGTTTGTTTATATAAACATATGTCCGCAAATGAGCCATTTGGGCTGTAGAGCAAAAAAACTGTTTTCATTCTTCGCAATAATTAAATCACTGTTTACATATTAATTTTGCTTTAACAGCAAATAAATGATGGTTGACAATAATTGTTCAACTCGCGAACTCTTTGGAATATTCTGGGAATAGCTTCTACATGGGTACAACTCGCCAGTATCCTTGCTATCAGATCTTCCTCATTACAAACAGGTGTTTCGTAGACTAAACTTTTCAATGTCAATGACCCGACGGTGTAGTTTTTGCATTGAAGTAAATGGTCAACATTTTGAACAATTATTGTAAACCATAATTTATTTGATAATAAAGCAAATTTAATAAGTAAACAGTGATTTAATTATTGCGAAGAATAAAAGTATCAAACAGTTTTTTTGCTCTACAGCCAAATGGCTCATTTGCGGACATAAGTTTATATAAACAAAAATGCTTGTTTTGATGTCCCCTACTACCCCTTAAAGTTTGTCGGTATCTTTTTGGGACACCCTATAAAAATTTTCAAAAATAAAAAAGTTTGTCGATTGGTGAAAATTGTAAGACCTGAAATTGTGATTCCTTTCAAGCAATCATAAACCATGGATAAATCCAAATATCAGACGAAGTGCTATTTATTTATGTGGTTGAGAATATCTTCAATGAGAGCGAGAATCGCCGTTTGTGTGAGACAGTGAGCAAATAAATTTCAGTCTAAAAAGTCAATTAATCTTGTATTCATGGTTACTTTGCTATTATTGTCCAGAATTTCATGATCTTTACAACATATTTTTATAAATAATAATAAATATAATGTGGTTCGAATTGAGGGATTCAGCAGCAACTTTATCTAAAAATTCCCTTGAGTTCGAGCACTATTTATTAGGTATAGTGCAAGCCTTATTGAAGAGTTCAGTTGTTAAATAATTTGCTAGTAGGCTATTAAAACTGCACCAAATTCATTTGCAACATAGGGAATATCATCCAGGCAACAACTCATGGAGGTAACAATGTTCTCTTAGGTATAGTCCTTGGAAAGAGGGCAGAATGCTCGCTAGTCTTAGATTATTCAACTTGTTAGGTAGTGGAATCTCTATCACTGGCACTAAAAGACTCTCTACACCTGAAAAAAAAAACTAAATGGTATATGATAACAATTTTGGAGTAGATCATTGGGCCTTGTGGTGTGGGTGGATATCTGATCTGGTAATTCAGCCAAATAACGTTTGCTCTGAAATGAAGCACAGTAAGGGTGGGTATTATAAAACTGCTTTGACAGTTAATTTGAAGTTAACTTTTTGAATTACATGTAATTCCAGAAGTTAACTTTAAGTTAACTCTCAAAGTAGTTTTATAATACTCGCCCTTAGTTAGTTCCAATAAGTCACAATTTGATGCTTAATATATTTGGAGAATCACTCCAAAGAAAATTCACCAAAAAAGCCTGTACATCTTGATATAAAGAGTAAATACAATTATTTTAAAGAACATATTAAAATGTCGAATCGTGTAGCCTTTTAAGATGATGTTTTTTAATAATATCCTCAATCAACGCTAATGTGTAGGTATGTTATCTATTTATTACTGTAAAGGCTCCCACAGACGCTCAGTTATTTTGCACAGGCCGAGTGCGCAAACCTGGTTTGTGAAGGCATATCGGCACGCCTGTGGATATTTCCGGCCGACTGTGCAGGCTTGAGTAAATTCGATTTCTGCTTGAAATTTGGCCTGCACAAACACAAACCATTTCCACTATAGAGAAAAAAATATCCTTGAACTGCGTTATTCGTCTTGTGTAGAAAGAACTGTGCTAAAAACTGAGCGTGTGTGCGAGAGGCACAGGCACAGGGTGTTTTCTCATATTTTGACTCCCTACCTACAGCTTTAGCTATATGGGGTGAAAATTTTTTTTAAATATGAAAGATGTACGGTTTTATCGGTTGCGCTTCTAAAACAAATTCAAATCGCAAAATTATGTAGAAGACCAAATCATTTTTTTTAATGGAACACCCCGTATATTTTTAGGTTTAATGAAAGTTCTTTTTCTCCTCTTCCAAATATACCATATATGTTGATATATGACTTTCATTAGAGCTAAAAATATACAGGGTGTTCCATTAAAAAAAAATTATTTGGTCTTTTATTATAATTTTGCGATTTGAATTTGCTGGTTTTAGAAACGCCAAAATATACTACCGATAAAACCGTACAACTTTCATATTTAAAGTTTTCTTCCACCTCGTATAGCTAAAGCTGTAGGTAAGGGTCAAAATATGAGGAAACACCCTGTACAGATTAATTTGCGCAAATTGGCCTGCACAGTCGGCCTGTGCAAAATAACTGAGCGTCTGTGGGGGCCTTATATCACTCCTCCTAATAACAGAAATAAAAGTTAATTTTTGAGCGTCATAATGAAATGTACCTAATATCATTGTAAAGAGAATCGAAAGACCTTTCAAACGAGATGCAACTCAACCTCCTTTCCATTAAAGATTTTAGGGGTGAGTTTCACTCTGCCCATGTGATTGCAGATGAGGGTTGGCTTAAACGCCATTATAAGAATTTTCAAAAGGTTTTGTGTCAATCAGAGAAGAGCAGTAAGTTAACTTGAAATTTGCTATTCGGAATCGTTCTATATTATTTTAGCGAAAGTTACTTGGGAACTCATAAAACTCAATGCGACAAAATTTTTGCAACCAAGTTTCTTTTTCATGTCATGATTAAATGAATATGAACTATCACTATAGTGAAAACATTTCATTTCTTACTTTATAATTTTTTGCAATTTAATATCTTGATTTTTTCTCTCCATTAGCCGAACTGCTACGCCAAGGTAATCACCATAGAATCCCGTAAGAAAATTGTGATATACTCCAAACAACCAATAGCTGTAAACGAGGAAATTACTTATGACTACAAATTCCCCATCGAAGAAAATAAAATCACCTGTTTGTGCGGCGCCCAAGGTTGTAGGGGAACCCTTAATTGAAAAGAAAACTTAAAACTTAAAATTTTAATTGTGTTCATCAAGTGGTTTATAATATGAATTGAAAACTGATCCAAAGTAATTATGTAATTGTGAGAAAAGAGATTTACAAGTAAAAATCGACATAGATGCTATACCTTTTTACGAAGCATGTAGGATATTAAACAAAAAAAAAAACTATTGTAAAAACGGAAAATTCATTGTATAAAGCTTTTTTTTTAAGATAATAATAAATATGTAGATATATGTATTAGTGATAATTATTATAAGATTCATTAAGCTTTTTTCCATGTGTTTGTGCATCGCAGTAAAATTATTGATAATTTAATTAAAAAATTTTAATTGTACATATTACTTTGTTAAAAATATTAAATAGAGAGCGAATTTGTTAAAAAATACAAACATTTTTCATTTAAAATATAGTACAAACAATTTTCACATTTTATTGTGAAGCAATGTTTAATTGAATTATTATGATAACATAAGTCATTACAGATGAGAAAAGGGTCGACAAAATCGACTGATCCACTTTCCAGAATCCGGCAGCAGAAAACTCCGGAGTTAAACCTAGAACAATACAATATTTTTTTGGTAATAGGCCTATTGTGAAACAACAAAATTAGGGTTTTTATCCCTGTTTTGAGATTCTAGATGAGGTTTAATGACACAAGTTTGGTTTCAAAATTTGTAATGGATTCAGGCGCTAGAATGTATAGTCCATTGCATGGTTCTTGAGCTACGACTACTGAATAGACAGAGGGAACAATGGGTTATTGCTGCGTTGTCATATCAATAATAATATTTATTATTACATGAAAATGAAGGAAATTTTATTGCAATTTTCATGTATTAATAAATATTGATATCGATATGACAACGCAGCAATAGCCCATTGTCCTCTCTGTCTATTCAGTAGCCGTAGCTCAAGAACCATGCAATGGACTATATACTGGTGGAATAGGCCAAATAATTCAACGAATATGAATATTTATATGATTAATTTCAAGAATAAATGAGAAAAGGAAGATGGTTGGTACTTTACCTTGAATATAATTAGTTAAATTCAAAAACTCTTCTTTAAGTTCTCGATTCTCCACTTGCTCGTGAAGCATCAGACTAGTTTTCCGAATGCATTTAGCCGATTTAATCACATAATCGCATGACATAATTATTTGACAATAACATACCTGAAACAGTCATTTTAAACTTTAATCTGCTGAAGTCTTCATACTTACCACATATAGCATCAGAAAAAGACCATTAACACTCATAATATCTTCGGAATTTGTATTCGTGTCGTTTCCAATAATAGGCATTATAAAGTAATTGACTGCATTCAGAATTTCCACAACTGTGCAAATGCCAATAAAAAAAATGCTGGTTCCAAACAATACATTAACGTCTTGAACAATCAAATACAAATATTTGTAAATCGTTGAAAATTCTGCCAAATTATCGCTTACACAATCTCTTTGCAGTATCGAAAATTTTAAACTTTTGGCGCCTACAGATGATTTGAGGAAATTGTCCAAATATAAATATCTATTTTTGATCCAATTACATGTAAAAGTGAACAGAATAGTACAAAACATTAGGTAGTAAGTGGTGATGCGAAAAATAGCAAAAGCTAGAACATAAGATGAAAAATGCCAGTTCGCTATGCTGTCATAAATGTGAACAGCAAAGTACAATATATGATATATACATATCCTCAAACGCACATAATTCAAACGTGAATCTTTTATAATTAAATTATAATTTGACCAGTTGAATTTTTTTTCAAGCTCTCTTATAGTTTTTATCAAATTCTGCCAGTAATTTTTTCTTAAAATACTGCATATAACCACTTGTTCGATAAAAATAAACTCCAGAAAGCCTTGGCAAGCGTCCAAAAAGGCTTGGTTAAAGTTTGAGTGCAGATACATGAAAACTCTTTGATAGAATGAAAATATATTTGCTCCAAGATATGCAGTCATCAACAATAAAGGGTAGTATTTCAAAAAGCACTTTAACAGCTTGTTAGTTACTTTTCCATCGTCTATTGGAGTGAAGGCCAGGTATTTGGCTAAGCGGTACCACGTTTGGATAATTCTGTAGTCGGTTCTTGGTTTGTTGGACTTTACATTTAAAGCAGACATCTTGTAGAAATTGCTTCAATTTAACAATTAATTTTTTGTTTAGTGGAAGTTTTAATAATTTTATTCAAAAGCTTGAATTTTGACCCAAATATGAAATAGCTATTTTCGTAACTAGTGGAGAAAAACGTATACTTTAAACACAAGTTGTTAACATGATGATTAAATGCTCCAGAGAATAGATGTAATCCCTCAAGAATCAGTATTAGTAGATTAAATATGCAACACGAAAATTATAGTCCGATGATGAGCCACGGAATTAGAAATAGTGAAGTGTAAATGTGTACAATCCTCGTGAATAACAATGCTAAATTCTAATATATAAAAATGGAATAGATTGTAATATTAGATTAGAGCATACTTGTCCCTGATGATTAAACTTCCTAGTTTCGAAACATGTAGGGATCTTTAAATCGTATTAAAGTTATTTGTGGAGAAAGACTTTGTGCTTTCATCTCATTCCAGGATTTTGTGCAATTATCTGATCTGTAAAAAAGAATAACAATTTGTGGCAGTACGTTCTTACATTTTTTAAGATGCTTCCCAGCAGACTTGTCCCAAAAAAGTTAAGAAAATAGCTATTCATATTCTGTCATCCTCAAGGAATAAATATTACCTACAACGTTATTTTCTCCTGTTTCAAATTAAGTAATATTTTCATGCCTCCAACTTCAACTATAACTGTTCAAATAGATATAACTTTTTTATAAATTTATGTTATTATTGCTTGGCTCAACAGCGCAACCAATTAAATTCGATGATTGGACTAGATTGCCATAAAGTGCACGCACGTTGATGTAACTACTTCCAATAGAGGGTGTTTTAATGATAAAAGTACATATTTGTTGTTAGCAGGTATATCTACCAGAAATATAAAAAGTTTCATGTTGAACTTTGGACCCAAATGCTTTTAATGATGTGTGTCTTTGTAAATTTACATTGGTACCTAATAACTAGACCATATGTAGGTAAAGTTTTAATTGGTTTGAGTTGGCAAATCGCTTCAAGTTGGTTTTTGGTTTTCTTTCTCTTTTATGTAAACAGAATTCAGAAAGTAACGTAGAAAATTCGTTGACAAATAGGAAACTTTTCCACTACATATATTGATTTCTCAACCGAAATTATTATTTTTTTTCAAAGTTTTGCAATGGTTTACCTGAAACCGTGTTACCTAGCCTATCATGTAAGTACAGCGTCAAATTGCTGGTTTATGGTTTTTTAAAATAAAATAAAAATTATGATTGAATTGAAGTTAAAAAGTCCCGATTAACAATCTTGTTCGGAGGTTAATTCAAGAATGATCTTTTAGGAAAAAGCTAGAAAATATTATAATTATAATAATAATAATAATAATAATGCTTTATTGTTAGGAAAAAAAGTTAACAAAATTTGTTGACAAAGCCTTAAAAATAATATACATCTATCTGTATACAAAGTCAAAACAAAATACATAAGTAGGTACATCGAGTTCGAGGTATAAAATAAACTAAATTAGTCTAATAAATTATTAACAAAACAAATTACCTATAAACAATGCTCCAGTGTGTGGAATGCTCAAAATTATGTGTTCACAAAAAAGTAATTTACCTTATAAAAGGCTCTTTCCAACAAATATGATTTGAGAGCTATGCGGAATTTAGAAAGAGAAGATATGGACTTGATTTCTATTGGCAGATGGTTGTGCATTTTTTTTTGCGTTGTACAGAATAGAGCTCTTAACTAATTCTGAGGATGGGGTTGGCAGGTAAAGATCATGCTCCGCGTTTCTAAGTGGATAATGATGGAATGGCCTTTCTGAAATACTTGATAGGTGTTTGCGGATTAAACAGACTGACTCTAGTGTGAATAAGGAAGGGAGCGTCAATATTTTATATTTTTTGAAAAAAAACTTGGCAATGGGCTCTATTCTTTAGCCTAAGAGAATAACGAATAGCCCTTTTTTGCAATTTAAAGATACGCTCAAATTGAGTCGCACCGCATGTACCCCAGAATGGAAGGGCGTATCGAAGATGTGATTCGAAGAGGGTGTTATAATCGTCCCGACTCGGCAATTGAAACTCTAACTTTCGTTAAAAAAAAAAAGTTTCGTTTATTAAAAGTAAAATAAAATTAAATAGCTTGGCAAGAGGGAAGCTTTGACTAATTTAAAATAACTTCGTGTTTTGGGTTTGAAGCCCGGATTCAGAGTGTCTTGTCTTCAGTCTTTCTTCTCCCAAGAAAACGGCTTCATGCTTCATGAGATGTCCTTAAGGAGGGCGTCGTCTTCAAGTAATAAAATATAAAGGTGCCTAATTCTATACAGATGTAAAGTTTATTTTGGAAAGTTTGTGAAATAAAATCATAAACACTAAAATTCTAAAGGTACAAGGAAATTCTGGCCGTCTAGACAATAAAATAAAAGAAGGGTCTACTCTACAGTCTCTGGCGCCTTGGCGGCAAGAATAATAATTGGGGTTCTTGCAATAGAAATCATAGAAAGAAGCTGTATAATAATTCCAAGCCTTAAATAAGTAATAAAGTTATAAAGTACCTATCATTAAAACATGGAGCTAAACTAAACAGATGATGGAATTTACTGTAAATAAATGTATAGTGAGCATCGTATTATTAATGAAGAGTTTATTGGTTTACGACAAGGGCAAAGTAGACTGATCTAGAGGTTGAAAAGTTAAGTTCCTTGGAAACAGATCTTATTGCGAAACAAGCGGAGCTCAATTTTTTGGACAAAGCATCGATGTGCAAGCTCCATTTCAGGGACTTGTCTATAATAAGGCCCAAAAACTTCACAGAATCAACGACGTCAATAATAGTGGCGTTATTAAGTGCAATAGGTTGCAACGTACTTTTGTATGACAGAACTTTGGTTTTCGCGGCGTTGAAACAGAGAAGGTTAGAGTCGCACCATGATTTAATGGTAAACAAATCATTGGACATGGTTCTATGAAGTGCCACAATATCCGGATTGCTCCAAGTGAAACTAGTATCATCAGCAAAGAGGCAGATTTTACCGCTGATGTCTAGACTAGCAATGTCGTTGATGAATTACAAAAATTATATTGGACCCAACACGGAACCCTGCGGAACTCCACATTCAATAGGGAACTTTACAATTTTTTTTTTATTTTCTTAAATCATTTATTACTTATGGCTTGAAAGAGTATTCCCCAAATATTATTCCCTAAAACTCAATAATAACTTGGTGAAAAATGTTTAAAGTTTCGCGCGTATTAAAAGCATTTCAAACGACCTTAAATGCGCGCGAATCTAGATGACGTCACGTAGTATGATTTTGCGTCACCTTGTCGTCAAACGTTATATTTTACTTCATTGTATTTAATTTGGTTGATTTCCACATTTTCCACCGTTATTTGTTTTGTTGTTGCTTTGGGTTGCGGCGAGATGTAAATTTTTAAGTTATAATGGAAAAAATTCGCAGTTACTTACTTTTGCTACTATAAACATATCACAAATTACAGATTCGCGGATTTCCTTCTGTTTATGTTCAACTTGATACTGGTTCAATTGATTTTGTTCTGGATGGATTGGAAGAGAAATAATGATAGGACGACTTGAATGGACTTAAATTGAGGAATAGAATTTTTTAAATTGTGACAAATTTTATTTTCTGACAAATCTATTGATTGATATATGCCACCAACCTGCGGGTAGTGGCCAAAGCATTCTATAAATACAATATTAAACATTACTCCCCCTTTTGGAGGGTACCTTCAAACATGTGAAAATTAATAATGAGAACAAAAAATAAAACAGTATAAATAGTCTTTAAAACATATTTTCAATGTTTCGTTTCATCCTGAAGAGGAAGTGGACATAAATGACGAATTGATCTTGTAACATTTCCATTTTGTGTAAGGACCTCAGCTACTCTAGTTACACCATCTTTGCCTGGAAATTGACGTACTATACGACCAAGTGGCCATTTCAGTGGAGGTTGTTTATCATTTTTCAGCAATACTAAAGTTCCGTCATGGATTTCGGTAGGCGCGTTTTTCCATTTATATTGTGTGTGAAACTGGGAAATGTAGTGTTTTGAGAATTGAGACCAAAATTGTTGAAATAATTTTTGAACATGTTGCAGCCGTGATAATCGATTAAATTGTTTTTCTTTCAAATTGCATTCTGAAGGATGGTTTAGCGTTGGCGACCGATAAGAAAATGTGAAGGGGTTATAGGCACTAAATCATTAGGATCGGTTGACATGGCGAATAATGGTCTTGAATTTAAAATTCCTTCTACTTGAATCACTAACGTATTGAATTCTTCAAATGTTAAATTATTTTTGATAACTCGTTTCAAATGATGCTTAGCACTTTTGACAGCCGCTTCCCAAAGGCCACCAAAATTAGGGGCATAAGGTGGTATGAAAACCCAACGAATTTTATCGATACTAGTTCGATCCACAATAGAGTTTTGATTTTTATATAGAAAATTTCCAAAATCTTTTAACTCACTATTTGCTCCAACGAATGTACTGCCGTTATCAGAGTAAATAGTTGAAGGCAAACCTCTTCTCGAAGTGAATCTTTTTAAACACGCTAAGAAACATTCTGTCGTTAAATTAGAAACCACTTCTAAATGAATTGATTTTGTACAAAAACATACAAAGACTGCTAAATAACATTTAATTGGGCTCGCACCTCTACCGGCTTTATTTAGAATAAAAAATGGACCAGCATAATCCAGGCCAGTTATTTCAAAAGGCAATGAAGGCTTTATTCGAATATCTGGCAAACTAGACATAGGCGAAGTTAATGAAGTAGGCTTGAATCTAAAGCAGGTCATGCAATTTTTTACAGTTTTTCTTGCCAAATTGCGACCTCCAATAGTCCAATAAAATTGTCTGATAGAGGCTAGTAATAATTGAGGACCTGGATGTAACAAATATAAATGCTTATTTCGAAAAATTAACTTCGTAAATGAATGTTTCGAAGAAAGTAAAATTGGGTGCTTAGTATCATAAGGTAAATAAGTATTTTTCAGAC